TATTGTGCTTAAAAAAACTACACTCAGGCAAATATCAAGAGTTTACTGACATAGTTAATATAGACAAACTTGTAATAATATAAAAAATAATTATCAACAATTTCCTCGTTGCCGTCTTGGCTGCTTCTCAGTGGTACTGACACAATGGTCAGTGATATTTTGAGAAAAGATTTGGGAACGACTAAACGTGAAGCAGTAAAACAAGCAAAGACGTTAAAGACCTTTTACCGTAAGTTCTTAAAACTAGAAGGTAATTGACTTTCAAGCTTATCCAAAACTGAGCTAGCTAGACTTGGCTTCAGTAGAGGGAAACCTTTAATTCTAGTTGTCTTTTACAGCCAGCTAATTTTGATCTTAAGCTACCATTTCGCCTACAGTCACGATTTGGCAGTTGCGTTTAACGCTTTTGTTTCTTTCCTTATACTTGCACTTTTTTGAAATTCATGTAAAAAGCTGTATTACAGATTAACGTTTTGCCAACTACTTTACTTTTTTACTCTCAAATATAATACTTGGCAGCAGTTTCTTTTATTGAGCATGATAGTTTTTTATAGATTTTTCAAAGGTTAAAAGAAAGATTATTTCTTATAAATAAAAATTGCAGTTCTACTCAATGACTGGTACTTTTGTCTTGTATACCTCATTATTATGTTCTTTTACAGTTCGGTTTTTATGTAAAAGTAAGCCGTGGTGACGATTTTATTATGTGAAATTACTCTATCTATAAGACTAAAAGCTGATTGAAAAAATTAATTTTCCGACTTTTGTTTTCTCCAAAGTCAATTTATGAAGAAAGAATCCTGCAAGTTCACAGTATTTTAGTTTATCAGGTCTACTTCAACTTTGCTCTACTTAACTAAATCTGTTTTGACCAACACCAGGCTTTGGCTGCTCCTCCTCGTTGAGCACACATATATCTGCGTAAATTTGCGTAGTTGTTTGTACACAGCTTTGGTACTTAGCTTTGCTGTCTTTGATAGATTAAATAAGGCATTAATGAACTTCAGCAAAATAAGTAATCGTCAGCAATCTCGATTAATAATATTAGATTTTAAACTGTTTAGATGAAAAATTAAGATGAAAAGTAGGCTTGATACAACAGTAAAACATGCATAATTTTAAAAATTTTTTAGCTGACTGCTTTTGCAATAAAATCTGGACAAATTTTGGTCAGATAAAATTAGAGCGCTAGTCGAAGAACAAGCCAGAATTTAACCATTATTTTTCGCACATGTCTATTGTCTGCAGCTATCAACTCCAAACTCACTGAAACTACAAATAAGCAGCGGTAAATGTACATAAAGTTTGTAATATATTTTTGTCTTTAAGAAACAAAATTAATAAAAAAACAAGCATAATAATTTTAGACATCTTTGAAAGACGACGAACATTAAAAAAATAGCCTTTTTAAATTTGAATGAACGAACTTCTTTATTTTCTTTCAGAACACTATTGAAGCTTATCACTTTATAGTTTTTCTCCTGACTTTGGTGAGGAATACAACTCAATCTCTTGAAAAACAAGTTTGTCACATAAGGCTCGCTGGTATATTTGTAGAAATGTTTGCAGTCCGCCTAATTTTGTAGCAATTCGGCCTAAAATTATTTCTAATTTGCACAGTAACACTTTTAGTAGGATCTAATTTGGAGGCTTTAAATGACGATTTCAGAACCAAATATCTCTTAACCGTTATTCCAGGCGATTACCCCCAAAGATATTTCCTAATTGTATAATAAAGTGTTCTTTTTCAGAGACAAACAAAAAACGACAAATCTTTGATGAATATGGATGACAACGTCCCAGCTGCAGCGGATTACCTGAACCAGTAAAAACACAACTTTATGTTTCATCGTTTTTTGTTAAGCTTCAATTACGAACCTTTTTTCTTGGCTGATAATATCTGGAGTAACTTTTTCTACTTGGCAATGTTTTACAAAATTTTTTTGAATTTTTAATAATCAAAAAAATTGGAAATCTTTGCGCTGTTCATTATTTTTTTGTAAAAGTAAACTCTAGTACTATGTAGTATTCAAACAGCACTTGGTTTTTTTTTGTTTCGTTTTGTAATTTCATACTTTTCTTAGTTTTTTGAAAACATACGGTGAGGTACAATTTTATTAGATATTTGTTTTTGAATGTCTGGGTATGTTAGGAAACTTTCTTTTCTCAAAAATACTGCTTACTTAATTTGTTTTGTCCAAAAAGAATATCCTTGATTTTTTCAAAATCAGCTCCATCTCCATTAACTCTCATAGCTTTTGCTATTTAAGATGCAGTGTAAGATACAATAGAAACTTGAGCAAAATTCCAAATTCTGAATACGAGAACTATAGCAAATTTTTTTTTGCTTGACAAGAATTTTGTTTTACACCAGTTAACTAGTTTTTCTAAAAAGAACACTACTAAGGTATTTGACGTTTAGAATTCAGAATTTTATTTAGAATTTTTAAAAAACTTACAGTTTATTAAAGCTAAATATTGCTTAAGTATTGTAACTGATTTGAAAAAATGCTGTGTAACCAAATTAACAAGTGCTTTTTAATAATTTTTAAAAAACTGACCAACTTCGGTTGAATATACATTAATTTCAAAAAATGCGTCTGAGAACTAACTTAGCCATTGGATAAAATTTAAAAAGCAGAAATTTGAGAAGAACAACTACAAAAATTCAACTTGATTTTCAAAAATAATGTTCTAACCTTGTCGCTGAAAAAATCATTTAGTCTTTATCAAAAAAAAAAAAATGTTATGTTGTAATAAACTAGTGAATTTTTAGCAAATGTACAAGAGATATGAAAAAATAGTAATTCCTCATTTGTTTTAAGCTCAAAGTTAACAGGTAACTGTTGAACGTAAGTGCTTTATCAAAAGTATTACTTAACACAATAATCTGTAGACATTTGAGTGGGCTATCTTAGAGTGATGATCCAGAATTGGTTGGTTAGTGACCCGAAACTAACAATTTAAACCTGGTAGGTAAAAAAGTGATAATTCGTTGTGAGATTTTAGTTTCTGAAGTTGCGCAACGAATTACCACTTACATTATAAAATTAAATCAAACCTACTTACAAGGGGAAAAAGCAAGAGTTGAAATAGGATTCACCTCAAATTAAATCGAAGTAAACTGCCCATATGTAAGGATGCAGAAATCTTCCTTAGTGGTTGAAAAAGCAATTTATTTCTCGAACAAATTGTTACTGGGGGCAAAAAAATAAATGCTGCATGGTAATTATAAAATAGATCAAACGGTAGGTAAAAGTTAACCTCTTCTCAGTCGATTGATAAATCACACTTCAAAAGCTTTAGGCAACAATTGTGATAAACTAAAAAGTTTGACAAGTGATTTACATGGTTCTGTCTAACGCTGTTGTGAGCATTGCTGTAGAAGAATATAGTTTAGAATTACAATATAAAAGTAAAGTTTGAAGAAAGAGCACTTAAATTTTTTAAAACAGGAGAAGCAGCTATTACTTTATAATAAAGCTAAAACAAAATTTTGAATATTATTATAAAAAGGAAGAGGCTTTAATATAAAGTTTTACTATGTCCACCTAATTTCTTTAGTTTTTTTCTGCTAGTTGTCGCTTTTTTAAACGTTGCGTTATTCGTTACTGGGAAAAGCTTACATGGATTAAGGCTTGTAAAACTGTTCGTGGGGACTCTTGATTTCTAGATTTCTACATTGATACGTTACTGCAATGTCGAAAATGTTTTCAAGCCGACGACGTTTCTTTTTTATAATTTTCGTTATGATATTCTTAATAAAGTACATTTACGAGTTATTATACTGAAAGACAGGTATCTGGTAAACCTTCATAACAAGCCTAATAAAGCTTCTCTCTTTTTCTCTTAAGTTCTTACGTTGCATAATATAACTCATAAATCTTTGCTATATTTAACACAAAATATCACTTAATTTTAAAGTTTTTCGCTGTATTAATCCTATAATTTTCAGTCACTTTTCTTCTCGAAACAACAGTGGGGTAATCAAAACAGTAAAAGAAAAATTAAATGTGGTCCTTTAAACCATTATAGAAGACAGAAAAAAGAGAAGACGCAAAAGAAGCTAAGTACAAACTGTGTTTTTTGATTCATAGATTTTAACAGAAAAAATTCAAAGAAACTTTAAGATGCCATCAAATTTACGACCCTAGGCGCATAGCAAAGCAAAAGAAAACACACCCCAAATTTGGTTAATTTTCTCTATAAGATAGTGAAAACAGGTTCACTTGTAGTGTATAATGCGAAGAAGAAAAAAATAATAAATTGTTTCAGCTTTAAACTGCAAAAAACTTCAACTTTGTTTCCCTAACTTTTATGTACACAGTGAATGTAGTCTTTATACCGTATTTTACCAACATAGTTTTGTTAAAATGTCAGTGCAGCGTCGAAAGGCTGAAGAAGACTGAGCAAATTACTCAGTGCCTAGTCTTCACAAAACGGCTCTTTTTCAAAACTGGTTGTCTTGTCGTTAATAAATAATTCAACTACAGCATCGCTTTTTTCTGATACTTTAAAAAGAACAGAAGTCATAATTAAAAACGAGAGTTCAGTAGCTGTAAATAATTTCGTTTTTTTTCTTATCAAGAACCATTTTTAAACCGATAATTACAGTACAAACTTTAAAAGACCATCACAAAACCAGAGAATTTACAATTTTGAAGAATATGTAAACTTATTTTCATCTTTTATTTGAGGTATTGACTTATCTAACTGTTTTTTATTTATCAGATAATGTAGACCCACCTACACTTTCTGCCTCTTTTGTTTCTTCCTGTGTTTTAAAAGATAAAAAAGGAAAAAGCAACAAAATTTGTTGGAACTTTGTCAATGTCAGTATATTTGTAAAGCAAAAGATTTTATTTTCTTTTTTTTCTTTGCTCTTAGGGCATGAAACCGAATGGTATATTGGCAGTATTAAAGTGTTTGCTCGATAATACATTAGAACAGTTTATGATAAAGCGTAAAAATTTTTTGTCGTGCAAACATTTCAATCCTTCTTAGTGTTTCAATGAAATTCTTTGAGCTCGTTGTACCGTTTTCGCGGTATGTACTCGATGTCTAGCCATACGGCGTTTGGCAGCAGCTCGTCTTTTGGTAGCATAAGGAGCATGTTCACCAACAAGAACTGGATCACATCCACCAGGTGGAGGTGGGGCGTTTTTGTTGCCTGACCGTGGTGGACATGGACAATATCCAGCATCCAAGCCAGGCACACCCTCCGGACCAGCCTAAAAGCAATAATTTTTAGAGCGCTCACCTACCGTCGAGTTATCACAGTATAAAAAGCTGCTTTTTCGAGTCAATTTATTTTTGTATTTTTTTAAACATACAGGGCCCATCTCGCCATCGCGGCCAGGAGTACCAGGTGCACCAGCTGGACCAGCAGGGCCCATTGGACCTTCTGGACCTTTCTGTCCGTCTGGACCGTTTGGACCAGCTTTGCCCATTGGTCCTTGTGGACCACGAGGTCCTTTCGGTCCCTTCTGGCAAGTTGTCTTTGTTCCATCTTTTCCTGGTGGGCCTGGAGGTCCCTGTGGGCCAGGTGGTCCTGAAAAGATCAAGAACAGATTAGGCAGTCGTTGAAAAAGAATGTAAAAAGTATCCTATGACGAAATAAACAATTTTTTCCTGTAGATTACGAAATTTACCGCATGGTCCGGGTTCGCCCTCTGGTCCTTGTGGTCCTGGTGGTCCTTGTTGTCCGGGACGTCCTGGTAATCCTGGGTTTCCGTCGGGACCTGGTGGACCCATTTCGCCATCTGGGCCTGGAGGTCCTTGAGGTCCTGGCGGGCATTTTATGCACGGTGCTGGTGGTTCAGTTGGATAGGCAATCTGGAGTCCGTCTGGGCCGTCTGGTCCATTTGGTCCTGGTGGTCCGTCTTCTAAAATTTGGCTTTTTTCAGAGATTAAGCCTTTACGCACTTTATCTGAAGGTCAAAAAAATCCGAGCTGTTTTCAAAAAAAGTTATAGAAGAAACTTGCCTCCTGGGATTCCTGGGTCACCCTGTGGACCAGCTGGGCCTGGAGGACAGTGAGTTGGTAGGATGCATCCTAAAAAAAGAAAAACATTTATTGCAGAAGTGTTATTGTTTTAGCGGTCATGATGAAGGTAACTTTTTTGCTTTGTAAGATTGTAGTCTCCAATAATTGAAATAAACGTACTGCAATGTTTTGGAATTTCAGCTTGTCGCTTGTTCCTTGCTAGCAGTTCCATAAACGGATTAACACTCACTGGTGGTCCGCCTTGCTTTTGGATACCATGCACACTCATTATCTCATCCCAAGCATCATTTGCCAATGTCTTAAATAAGAAAAGCTGAATACGAGTTTGTAAAGTTTCAATTTTCCATTATTATGGTTCCTCTTCTCTCCTACATTACTTTGAAAAATTTTACTGGAAGCGAACATTTCAACTTATTCGAAAATTTCAACATATTAGGCAACATTTTAAAAAGTAGCTAAGGAAAAAGCGGAAAGATTTTCTTTTAATTAACTTATGGGAATTCGGCATACTTTGCGATTTTTTGCTTACCCTAACTATTTACTCAAAAACTTTCAGACCGACCTTAAATTCATTCATATCGTCCATAACCTCATAGTAAAGACTGTTGATGTCTTGGAAGAGAACTCCAACGATAACGAGTGAGGCCAAAATAATGCCTCCGCTGGCCACCGATGCAAGGTTTACTAATACTCGCGTCCCCATCCTAAACGGTGATGCTTGAGAAAAATAAAAAGCAAGGAGGAAAGGCAAAAGCAGAAGAAAAAACAATAGAGACTGCTTCTGTAAGAACAGTTAAACAAAAAAAAAAGAGAGAGGAAAAAGTATAAAAAATGCATATTTGAAAACACGGTATAACAATATTATTTGGTGACCACAGTATGCTTTGACTTATTTGCTGTAAAAAGTTAACTGTGTCCAGCAAATTAAGATTAGGATTTAAAAAAGCCGAATGAAGAATTGTGAAAGCAAGGAAAGAAAAAATCCGAAAAGAAAAAACTTTTTTGTTATTAAAATTATTAACTTTATTTAGAAAAACAGACAAAAAATAACAAAAATTTCAATTTTTTATTTCTTATATTATAAAAAAGAATAGAATTTGAATGAAACATTGCTATAACTATCAGTTTTTTTCTGTTTTTTTTTTTTCTAAAATCCTTAAGTTCTGAAAAAAAGAATAATAATAGAAGAAGAAATATGTAGATGTATATAAAAATGCACATATAAATGACGAAAAATGACAGTGAAATAAGTCCTAAGGTTTCGGTATAGAGAAATGCGAGAAGGATAAAAAAATCGTTTGATAATTGCTGCGCTGTAACAACACCGTCTAACCGAATGAAAATAAACCTGCAAGTGAAATTGCAAATGGCAGTGCGTTGGTTTTGTCGATTAACTGAGTATTTATAGTATGTTGAAATTTGATGTTAAAGAAAATCAGGTTTTACCAGCGGGCATAACCCATTCAATAGAATATCAAAAAAATGAAAAAATTCCTCCAAAGACA